TTTTTTTTTTTTTTTTTTGTTTTTGTTTCTGACGCTTTTATCCGGCTTCTGACGTGGCGATCGCTTGCGCTAAGATCGCGATCAATCGTCGTTTTTTTCCGATCTGTTTTCAAACGTCAACGTGCTATTAGATCGGGAGATCTGTTATTCTTTGTTCTTCTGCCGATAATAGGCACTACCTCTTCTCGACGTCCGACTCCTGGTTCGATGCTTCCGTTACCGGTGGTAAGGGAGTTTCCACTGACACTTGTCTGCCAATACGCAAATTTAATGAGAGAATTATTAGAACAAAAGATATTGATATCGATATTTGTTCGTTCTATGTTATATCAACGTTCGCGAATGTATTTTTATAGACGCGACTGAGATTTCATTGAATAGAGTTTGACTGTGTGTGTGTGTGTGTGCAAACGAGAAAACTTTATCGAGATGGAACACGTGAAAAATGATTTCGGGTAGAGCTGACTCCTCACTTTTTTGTTCTGAATGTGATGTTTACCTGCTCGAGTGCCAATCGTAAGAATCTGGCGCGGAATTGCTTCTCTCGTGAAAACGTTGCGCTTTTACGCCTCTCATCGTATTGCGCTGAAACGAGAAGGACGCGCCGCTGTTTTCCGTTCCCGTCGATTCCGTCCCCACATTGTTGCCGGTCGTTCGTCCAAGTCGCTTAGACAGGAATGGATTCTGAAGAACAGAGACAGTTTTTTTTTTTTTTTTTGATATTTTTAATCCTTGATAAAGTTTCGCAAAATGTTGAGCGATTGAATTGTTCGATCGGTTTAAAAATGACACATAAATTTTTATTCTCGTTACTTTTGTCGAGAAATCGAAAAATCTGGTCTCGTGCGAAAAATCTGGGCACACAGTTAGAAATTACTTCGATAGTATTATCAGATCGCACGCTTATAACGCGGATGCACGATATATGGCCATCAGTCTTTCGTATTTTATAAGGATCGTACAGTTATCGATAATATCGACATGCACCTGTCGAAACTGTCATCGTGTAATATTCACGCGGGCACGTGCCGTTACGTCAAAGTCAGTTAAGCGGATGCACGTCGGGATATACTGTCGCAGCATATTGCAGTATTATACGTGATCTGAGCCTTGACGACGCGCAGTAGCACAGCGAGTATCTCCGTTTCCGTTTTCGAGCAAACGCGCAAATCGTTTCGCGAGATGCTTCCTGCGATATTCGTATGAGAAAGTTTCGAGACTATTTCTCACACTGTTTGCAAAAAAATTTTGCTTTTAGATTTGCTTGTTTTCTTTCTTAATTTTGATAAACTCTTCGGAAGTTAATTTAATTTTTTGTCTCACCTGAAAACTGTGCTGCTTTAGCATGGTCTTAATGAGCACCAATGTGCCGAGTTTGATGACTTCCTCGTCGGTGACGGTGACCGGTATGCGACAGTTGTCGGCTTCGCTCGGCAGTGGTTCGGTCGCGTCATTGGTCAGCCACGAATGTTGTTTTATCCCCGATATCTTGATCCTCTTCTCCGGCGATTTGTCGAGCATCTGTTCGATCAGATCCCGCAACTTCGAAGACACTTGATGCTCTTGCGGGAACACAAGCGAATTGGATCGAATAATTTCGTAGATTGCCGCGGCATCGGCACCGGACCAAGGAAGATCCCCAATTACCAGCGCGTACAATGTTACCCCCATCGACCACACGTCGCATGGCTAGAAATCAGATTTTTTCGCGTTGCGAAAGTTACATTTCAAGTCACATATTTAACGTCAAAAACGTTGAAAGAATAAAATAAAAATTTTGTGGTGAATTTGTCACTTGACTAAAATGACATTTATCGCTGTCCGTGATATTTAAGGGAGTTAGAGAGTCTTTGTTGTCTCTCTGTGATAACTCAACAATATAATATTGCTGAATGAATAATAACATGTGCAAATTATAAAAAAGCATATTTTCTAAAGTTACAACATTCGTCTCCACGCGATGTATTTATCTTAAACTCATTGTGTTAATCTTGTCATATTTTCTGACCTTCAAACTTATTTATCTCGTTGTTAGAAAGAGAAAGAGAGATAATAAGTTTTGCTCTACAAAAATCCTATTTGATGCGCATTATGCCATATCCGTAAAAAATCTGTAAATGTCAAGCTGCTATGTTTATTATAAAGATCCACAAAGAGAATGTCTTTTATTTATAAAAAAAGCTTACGGGGAGAAAGGTAAACACAACGACCATGAACTTCTATTCTGTGACATTTAAAAAATGTTGTTAGCCGTGACGCATTAACAATATCCGTATAATAGTTTTCAAAGACCTCCGCTCCTCCCCCTCCCCCCCCCGTGATTTCAGAAAATTTATCTTTCTCTTTAGATTATTCTCGTTATCTTATTATGTCGTAAGAAATCAAATATTATATATACGTTGCGACGATTGTGCGGACTCCGTATTTTATAGAATCGAAGAAAGACGGAGGTTCGAGCAAAACAGGGCGCGCGGAACTATTTCGCGAGAAAAAGAATTCGTTGCGCGTTCTTAACTGTTTCTTAATTAAATGAACTTTGCGCTAGCCGCCAAATCAGTTACTCTTTCGCGAGAATGTCAGCAATGTCGAAAACATAAATGTTAGTAATAAATGCGATTTAAATATATAGTTATTTCGTGTTTCCGCACACAATTCTCCGCAAAGTAGATTTCATTGCGATAAAGATTTATCTTTTCGTTACGACGAAATAAAAATGATGTACAGTTTTTGAAACAAAAGATTTTCGCTCGCATTTCATCACGTAAGCTAAAGCCGCCTTTGTCCGGGAACCGGCGCGCGGTCGTTTATTTCGCAGCACGTTGCGGATTAAGCGTAATCGAGCGTGCGAGTTCGCGGGTCGTGAGTCGCTTATTATAGATATATCGCCTTTTCCTCGACACGACGACGCGACGGAAATTCAAGCGATCGGCCGTGGTGTATCGATAAGGTCACGCGATAGCGGCATAGTCGGCCTCACCGAGTAATCTCTCGGAGATGATATACGGGGAGCAGAATTGTCACTGTGCTAAATTACACGCCGCCTTCTCCTTCTTTCTCTCGCACGAAAGCGTGTGATAATGCGCGCTCGATCTCGGCGCTAACATTTATATGCCCGCTGCCCCAACTATCTAGACAAACAATTCATATCGCCTCTCTTGCGACAAAGTCCCGAGACGCGAAGGGTTCTCTACGTGTGGAGATCGTGCGCGTTCAAATTTAGTTTATATCACGCGCGTTATAATATCGTTTCTTTTTAAGCACACGCTTTATCGTGACGAGGCAGAGCGTCGTCACACAGGCGGCCGCCGAGTAATCGACCGAGTGAGGGAGGGAGTATAATTAGAAAGAAAGATGTATATTAAAAAATAGAAGGTTGGAAGTATAGTCAGTGAAAAGAATCTTGAACGGGGGGGTGATGCGGAGTCGCCGACAAAAGATTTACATAGTCCAAGCAGAATCCGCGTAAAGAATAACATAACCGACCTCTGACCTTTCCCGATAATTAAAGATGCGCATGAAAGAGACGGGGTAAAAAAATGACATTCCCGTTGATTAAGAGGAGGTAGACTGGATCTATTGTATCGACCGAACGAGAACGAGTTTGTAGTTTAAACTTATTTTTGTATTTATTATTTGATAACGGATAAACGATTTTTTTCAGATTAAAAAAAAAAAAAAAAAACTAGTCAAAAAGAATTTCTGTCGGATCTCAATTGTTTTTAAACTTGACAAATTTTTTGCAGTTATCTCGACTCTAATATCGCACTGTAATTCAAATTCAAGAGTTGAGATATGAGGGAAGGAACAACAGACAGAGATAGAAACACCCATCTGTGAGAATGTTGTACTTTGTGTCAGTAGTATTCACGATATTCCAGTACTCTCTTGAGATTTGTAATGCACGAATCCGCTACAAATCGCAGCGTCATCAGGCGTTTCTCTCTCGAGCATACGAGAGAAAGCCTGTGCACATGCAACCAATTCAACGCGCAAATTATTCTCTCGCATCAGCCGGCTTGGCGCGCGTTTTCGTCGATACGCGTCGCAATACTGCGCTAGTTACCTTGAAGACTATTCAGAACAGGCAACACGATGTGCGCATACATGTTCAAATACAGGTTCCAATCGAATCGCATTTAATCGTCCGACGCCTGATAGGGTGGCCTTTTCCGCTTAATTCCAAATGTATACAATATATATTGTATCACGTATATATAATGGGTATGTAAACTCGCGAGAGAGGTTCGTTGGTCGAGAGTCTCTCTCGCGATGCATGTAGGTCACTCCGCACGTGTCGGCTCGAGAGGCCACTGCTTGCGGGTGGAAGTGAAGTGTAATAGTAGCGGCCGATTTATCGACTTTTAATCTCAACGAGATCGGTTCTGCCGCGCTCGTGACGCTTCGTTCGGTTTCTTCTTGCTTCGTTACAAGTTTCGTAAAATTGTCATGCACACCGCGAACGCGATTAAATAAACGCACGTATTCGGGAAAATTTAATTTGCAACAATTGTTATTTATACGAGCTAAAATTATACAGAGGATTATACGCGAGTGAGTGTAATACATACTTACCGGACCGAAGTAGTAATTGCTGGGAAGTGTTGTCTCGGGCGCCGCAAAAGCCGGCGTGCCGGCTTGTCCTATCAATAATTCTCCGGGTTCTCTTAATTGCGTGCTAACGCCGAGATCAGCAATTTTAATCCTGTCGTCCTTGTCCACCAGCAGGTTACTCGGCTTTATGTCACGGTGCACGATATTTTGATAATGCACTGCGCAAATCATGATAAAATACATCCACATAGCACCACTTTCAAATAACTGTCGTGATTTTATTAGAATTTATTAGCCCCAGATAACTATATATATATATATATATCTTGTTTGCTTTTTATTTTTCGTGTGAAAGTAGAACGATTTTCTTTAAACTTTAAATTGAGTGTTATTTGTGCAGTTTCAATATTTCTCTACAGTTTCTGACATCAATACGTATCATTGTTGTGGAAAATATACCAATTGTGATTATACGTGAACTTTACGCGTGAATGCACGCGCGATGCCTCTTTCGTCATTAATCTGCAATAAGCGCCAAATATATTGCGCAAATCCGTTTGTCGAGCAGATTTGCATACATATTATTTAACGCGTAAGTGATAAACATGATAAGCTGTGCGTGTTAAATGCGATCTTGTGTATTTTATGACATTAAAGAAACAAAAACTGATATCTTTGTAGCTTCAACAAACTATTAAATTAGTGTAATAGTATAAACAAAAAAACTCTAGAGAAAAATATTAAAAATTTCTGTTCGTACGCGTGTACACGTTCTCATATTTATATTTTCAAGTTTTATATAATTTAATAATCAAATTAATGAGCAACATTTTTGAAACAACTTTCCATAAAAAAAAAATTTTTTTTGCTCAAACACATCCCGTATTAAATTACATACAGTACGTCTAATGACTTACAATATTCAACTCCCAGTACGACGTCACGAAAATAACGCCTGGCCGTTTCCTCTTGCAGAGGGTTGTTAGTAGGTATAACGAGGATCTCGCCCCTGTGGACCAGTTCGAAAACCAGATAGAGGTTGTCCTTGTCAGGATGGTCGAGCACCTCGACTAACTTGACAACATTAGGATGATCGAGTTTTCTCAGAATGGCGATTTCCTTGTAAACATTTGCCAGAGGATCGACGCTCGTTCTTCGCGGCGCCATCCTCCCGAATATGCCCGCCTTCTTCATCAATTTTCTCTTGCTCAGTATCTTCATGGCGTAATATCGGCCGTTGTCCTCGTTGTAAACCTTTTTCACGAAGCCAAAAGAACCCTGAAAAGCAAACGCGAATTATGTGTAACAAAGACGCAAAAAAGTGCGCAGCTGCCGCGTTTGTGTTTTCAGGTGACGATTGATTAATTTAGTTGTGAGATAAATTAATTCAACGCTATTTAAATCGCGACAATGTATCAATCAATACAAAGCTAAAAGAAAAAGAGAAAAAGAGAGAGATCATTTTTTAATGACTTATCTCAAGATAACTTTCGTAATTATGCAATAAAAAAAGATCAACATAAGATGAAAAAAGTTGATCGATATTGTAAATACGTCGTTTATAAATACGATCTTTTCTAGCAAGTGTCGTTGAATTGATTAAATGTCAAATCGACATTAAATTTCATTTTGTCTGCTTTCACTTCGATAACGAATTCAATTTTAAGTTCAAATGTAGTTTTAAGCTGCGCGATAAGAAAAAGAAACAAATAAATAAATTTTACGACTTTTTTTCTTTCTTTTTCGCATGTCAGAAATAGCACGCAAAATGATAACTTTGTTCCTAAAAAAAAAAAAATCCCTCTTTCTTTCCCTCTTTATCTCTCTTTCTTTTTCCTCTGTTTTCTCTTTCGGTGAAACGTTCTCTGGAATTTCTGCTGCAAACCTCAAGAACGCGCGCGGTAAACTTTGCCTCGCAGTTCTCTGTGCTCTTCGCTCGACCATGATAAAATGCAAAGTTATTGCTATGACTCGTTCTTTTTTTCTTGCATCTGTTCTGAATTCAATCAGGCCACGTTGAGTGCGTAAGCATCGAAGCGAGCGGTTTTCATTCGACGCGTTTCTGTGCGCGCTTTCTCGTGCGAGGAAATTCTTTTGAAGTGTCATTTATCGAAAAACGAAAAACGGTACCTTTTAACCTTTTTTGTATAATATTAAAGGCTCTTGAATTTCTCTTGAACATTAATTCATGACGTCAGAAGGGCAAAAACATACAGTTTGCAAGTTATTTTACAATTTAGATCAAAATATAAGAAATTATTTGTGCTAGATTTTAAATAAAAAAAAAAAAAAAATAGAAAAAGAGTCAGAATTATGAAGTCGCTAAAATATGAAACGTCGCGTTTCTTACCCATGACGTTTGTTATTTAAAAAAGAACAAACTCAATAACATTATCGAGAGTGAGTATATTAAGCATTTTTATTTTAAATCACTAATTGAAACGCATCATTTGATCAATCGGGGAATTAACAGAAAAGCAATTAAGTGAGGAATATGGAAAGCAAATAGATCCGGCAGAAATAATTAAACTCGTTGAACAAAAAATCCGCACTTCAAACAATCTCCGAGGAAATGTGAGTTATAACGTGAGTTATATGTTTCAGAAGATTTATAAACTGTGCAATCGAGCGAAGTAGTATCGCGTGAATGTTGATTTTCACAATTTCTTGCACAAATTTTTATTTTTACGGTTGATATATTGCATCACCGATACGGTAACGCGATTATCGGCAATAATTTGCGATTGTTAATTACTTCTTAACAGGTATACGAAGAATGAACGGAAGAGAGAATGAAAATTGCTAGAAATGATGACTCGCAGTGCGAGGTATCGGTTTATTGAAGAAGCGCGCTCGATATCGATAATCATATCATTCCCTTATTCGATACGCAAAGACCGCGAAATGGTTTCGGCTTTTCACCGAACGAGGAACGCAATATGTTGATCCGCTTATCGACGAATGCGGCTTGATTGTTAAAACGTCGCGCACGTAATTGAAAAGGCTTTAGGCTTGTCGCAATATACATCAACAGTTAACCACGAAATTGATTCGACACAAAATACACATATATCAATATTTTCCTCTAAAACAATGATTTTCTTCTGTATACAGAGATTTTCTTTATCTCTCAACAAAAAGCGCGTTTGGTTTTCAAATATTTGGGATTACAAAATAAGTAAACAAAAATATAACAAGTACAAACGTATGCGCGTATAATAACGCGTTATCTTTGCTCGTTAACAAGATTTTAAGAAAAATTGATAATTTTACCTTTCCAATCTCGTCCAGCACTTTATATTGATTTAAGTGTTGACCGTCAGATTGACTGTCAACGAACATGCCGCTCCCAACGGAACGCTCTCTGTTGAGTGTCCTGTTGTAACTTCTGGGTGAGCCCTGAGGACTGCCGTAAGGTGAATACGGGTAACGAGGATAAATAGGTCTGTCAGTGACATTGCTGGCCGATCGCTGGCTTGGTCCCGGTTCGCCAGGCAGAGATAATTTTCTCGCGTCCGTCTTCGAACAAGTAATATCAACGTTGGCGGTAACGTTGGCTTTCACATTTGTGTCATTTGTAATTGCAAAGTTCGTGTCACTATTATTAGTACGGGCCACCGTCGACTTATTGTAGTCGAGCTTTTGTGTCTCGCGGATCTCGGACAGATCCGTGATCTTATTAACCGCGGTTTCGTCATTGTTTCCGCCGCTTTCCAAAAGTTTCTTATCGTGTTTCTGCCAGGTTTCGCTTTCCTGTGTCCCTCGATCCTCCGTGTTGTGTCTATTGCAGGATAGATCCTTTATGGACATCAGTTTGAAGTTTTCTAGACAAAAATGTTAACAACAATAATAATAATAATTGGCAAAAAGAACGTTATTAAACTGTAACAGCGCATTTCTCAAACAGCGGCGCGTGACTTTCCGCGTTGTAACTTCGTTAAAAGTTAATTTCTCGAGAAGAGTACAATTGTTTTTTAATGTTAAAAAACTAAATGAAAAACATTTAAATCTACAAAAAAAAAAACACATTTGAAAGAATATTAGAATTGTTTTTGTATTTTTAGACGAAAGTTGCACCATGAAAAATTGGAAGATCAAAGATATATCACCCTCTTTCAACCAGATTCCCTACAGATTCCCGAGAAATTCCAAATTTTGTGACGTGAAATTCCTGCAGCCTATTATCATAACATAAAAAACTTATTCCCCCAAGATCTTGATAACGGGATGTAGGTTTTTTTTGCTTACCGAAACACGGTGTTATCTGTCTATCGCGCTCGATATCTTCCTGCTTGACAGATTCTTGCTTCACATCCTTCCCGTCCTGAATGCTGGACATGTCGAGGCTGGGGCTCGACATTTTTCTGTACGTGGTTTCAATATATTCTATTGTCGGCATTCTCTTCCCCAATATGTTCACGTCTGAATACTGCTCGTCAGTATTTATTTCTACGAAACCGCCGCTAGTGAGACCAATATTATTGATCAAAAGTGTTTCCTTTTGTTTCCGCCATCTTTCCAGCACCTGTACGCAATTACCGCCGCTCGAAATCGAGACCGTTGTCCAGAGTCTGTTGTCGTCGAAGCTACCCCGCGTGCTCTCGTAGCCGCTGCTCAGTCTTCGGACAACGTTGTCAGCAGTCGCTTTCAGGCTCTGCTTCAACAACGTATCATCTCGTAATAGCAGAAAAACGGCCGACGAGAGAGTCAACATAGAATAGTGGTTCGCGCGATACTCTGCGTGCGTAATTATAAAGAGATCGGCAAATCCCGTAGCCAGCGATCGCTCAAATTTTTTTTTCCTTTTTTTTTTTTACGTAATCTACTATTATCTTATCTAGTAACGTTATTGATTAAATTAACGACACACTGTCTTCCGTTAAATTAATTAAAAATTGGCACTGCGAAAAACATCACGTTGACCGATACGTGATCGAAGGTGTCCACTTTTTGAGCGGATTTCTTTTTATCGATTCACCTATCGATACCAAAAGTGATATTCTTCCAACTGACGGGAGGATTTGAAGGATTTTGAGTGATAAATAAACAAATAAATTTTTCTTTCCCGCCGAATCCAAGGAACCGCTCGTTACGTGGTTTGTCGATCTCTCTATAAATATACACAGAATAATATTCTCGCAAACACCATCGTGTGTTGGCTCGCACTGGTCGTGTTACTGTTATTAGCTTTTCGAAGATCCCTGTGCTTCGACTGTATCATCCCGTACCTCTTCTTCGAGATATAACGCGCTGTCCTTGCGCACTTCCTGATTGGATTGAATCGAGTCCGTTGGCACGTTCGACGAATCTGATGCATTCGTCGATACTTGTTCAGTATCAGGCGAGTCTTGTATATGCCTAGGTGAAATTTCGGAAAAAGGAGAGGGCTGATCGATCGCTCTGCGTCTGAAAATAAATAAATAAAAGTTTTTTTTTTTCTACGACATATTCACACGTTGTACACGTGTATACACAAGTCTCGTTTGTGTTTGTAAAACACGTGAAAGATTGTCTTTTTTTTTTTTAATCGTTTCATTATATTGCGTCGCGTGAAAGTGCAGAACTTTACGACTTGATACAACGAAATGTCAAACAGTCAACCCCGCATGCTGCGCCGTTGATTACTTATCGAGATAATCGACACGATATCTTACGCTATAAAATAATAATTACGAGATGGGAGAAAGTGCGCGTATGCGAACAAACCTTTTCATATGTCTACGACATATAAATAGAGAGCTTTGACGAACGAAGCCTTGTGCGACCTGAACGGCTCGTTTATCGGCTTGCGTATAGTATAATGATGCAGAGCGTTGATTCTGCAGGTAACGTTGAAATATCGATAATTCGAATTCCATAATGAACAATAACTTGAATGTTTTTTTTAAGCGATTTCATCTTCAAAAAGATATTATATCCTTTCACAGGTTTTGCTTTTAACTATTGAAAAAAAAAAATATATATATATAATAAAATATATATATATATAATATTTCGATGCAAGCATCAGTTTTATTTGTGTGTGATAATTGCGTGTGTGATAATTGTCGTTAAGACAATTGAGTGTGTAGTAAATGCAAAACGGTTTGTCGGTTCACTCTCTCGTAAAGCTGTTCCGTGGATCAATAGATCCACGCGAACGTGCCAGCTAAGATAATCACTTAACATCAAGTTGACCCTGAGGAGTCGAGAGGCGGCATCCTCATTAAGTTCCGAGTTGTGCGGTGTCGCGTAAACACGCGCTCGCTCACGGCAAGAAACAAGCCATCTGCAAGTGAGATTTGATGATGATAGCCCCGCCGTCGAGAAAAGTAAAAAATATGAAAGTATAGAGGTTACAGACTTTTGTAATTCACAGAATAAAAATGAGGCAAAGAGCGAGAAGATAATGTGCAAGAAAAGAATCTATACATTTTTCCAATACATTTTATCGTTCTTTCAAACAAACTTGGTTTAAAAACACGTCGTCTGATACGATAAAAAGTCAAGAATTCGGTTTTATATATACGCGAGGTCAAAGATGAAAAACGCCGTTAAAAGAGCCGTTGCAATCACTTTTTATCGAGAAGTTTTTAGAACAAGTATTGTAAAACTATCTAAAAAAAAAACGCTCCACTTTCTTTCTCATAAATTTTTATAATTTAAAAAGTGTCGGATTCGTGAAATTTGAATTTATGATTCTTTTGAAACGTTTTGCAAGCAAGTAATTTATGCGCTATCCGTGTAAGTATACATTTATTGATTTATTGTTAAAAAATCTTTGTATTTTTGTTTTTAGATATAAGATTTAGCCATTGTTTCTCAACAATTGCGTGACTCTTCTTCTACAAAGGATTAAATCCTTTGTTCGCGTGACGACGCAACCTGTCGGTACACTTCGTCTCGGTGAGAGACGGTGAACTTCGTCCACATCGTAAACATTTTTGCTTTAAAAGTCGACCAAGAAAAACATCGATAATGCGATAGTTCATTTTTCATCCTTAATAGACTGGAGAGAATAATGGCAAGGCGCAAACTTTATGGTTGGCGGCACGCGAGGCGCCGTTTGTACGCCGTCTGATGTATGCAGAGAGAGAGAGAGAGAGTGAAGTGCAATTCGACGCGAAGCATGATGCTCGCCGGATCAATTGTGCAGCCCAAAAGTAGGCCATATTGAGTGCAACGGTGGGACGCGCAAGATCTCTGCATTCGCGCGCCGTGTCGCTCTCTCGAGGCAAAATCTCATCCCAAGTCAAAAATGCTTTTTTCTCGTTCGAATATTGATCAATGGAATCGCCTAACGAGGCGCAAATTAGGGACTTGGTGAAGCGAGAGAAGATGCAGAGAGAGAGAGAGAGAGAGAGAACTATTACTGTGCGGGAATCTGTCTTAAATATTATACGTTTCACTGATGGGTCGTATTCTACAATTTTATTGAAATCGATATTGGAATTAAACTTCAAGACTCCGGCGAGCGATTTCGCGTATTCGCAATTAGCTGTTTCCCCACTAATTGAGAATCGCATTGCTCTAAAGTGTTCTTGAACACACAAGTAATGCGTCACATCATCACTTACAAATGCGCGAATCGAACAAATCTGTATATAAAGTACAGTTCCGCGCAAATCTCTCTATCAAACTCTATTTCTATATTAGCGAGAGAGAACCACGTTGTATATAATTTTAATTGCTGTGCTTTAATTATAACTTAAGCGTTTCAATTATCCGAACGTAATGAATAGTGAGTCACAGCTTAACGTGTGATGGAAATTTGATGTAGGAAGGTAAATACAAAGATTATTAACGAGTAAACTTGATGTGAAAATGTTGAAAGTTTCCAATATAGTTTTTGTTGTTAGCGCAAACTCCGTACTTTTTTAGTCTTGCAAAGCTTCGTCTTATTAATCCTTGTTTTTTTTAATATTCCGATAATTACATATAATTCTCAGTAATCGTACTGGTTGTATAAAAAAAATTCACACGAACTATCACGCAAAATAAACGTGCGCGATTCTTGCGACAAAAACTGGTCTTTGACATATTCTACGTGCGTGATGCGCGTTATTCTAAGAATGTGCATCGAAGAATCTGCGCCGCCACGATTTGTACACAAATATGTACGTTCAACTTGCACAAGCGGCGTGAAGATCAAATAAAGTCTCGCAATTGCAAAACTTTCTACGTAGAAAGTACATCAAAGGCAAATCAAAGGTGTAAACTTTCTACGAAGAGAGAAAAAACTTCGGAAAGTTACGAAATTCTATCTGCAGCGCACATTTTTCTCTTGTTCAATTTGTGTTCTTTAAAGCTAAAAAAATGCAAGTTAAAAAAAAAAAAAAAAAAAAAAACAATTGCTTTTGCATCTTTACATTGATAAGATTTCCATTTCTAATTGAACACGTCGAAACGTTTTTATTCGCGTTTTTTTTGATCGATCAATGCGGACATACACAGCGAGAGTAACCGGTTGCCACGAGATTGGCAGTAAATCGTTTACGTATCGCGGCAGAATATTCCTCCAGAAAAACGTTTAACACTCGACGAGGTTGAGAACGATCCGCGAATGCCAACGTACGGCTGCTGATCACGCGTAAATGTCTATCACGCGGATCGCGATTATCGCAAAAACCGAGCGCCGCCGTATGCGTCGTCGTTTAAGTACGTAGACCACGTAGCACCGAGGAATGCATATTTATTCCATTTTTGTCTCGTTATGTACAGCGGTCGATTGACAATTGAGTAATACGTACGAACGTAAATCACAATACGAACGTAAATCACAATACGGATCGACCGAACAAAAATTGAAGAAAAAAAAATAGAAAAGCGATTTTTCCGCAAATCGTTTTGCAAAAATAAACGACAATCCACAAGCTTGGTTACCCGACAATATTTAATAAGCAATTAATTCATGTATACTGAAATTACATATAGAATACATATACAATTTATATTACTGTAGTATTCATATTTATATTAATTTTTTGTCACGTTAATTCGCTGCTTTTTTTGACACGATTAAAGGCGTTTCTCTCAGAGAACTTTTTTAGAATGTTAAAATCTTATATTTTCTTTTTTTTTACGTATTTTTTTATGTGTATTTTAGTACAAGAGACGAGAGAGAGAGAGAGAGAGAGAGAGAAAGAGAGAGAGAGAGAGAGAGAGAGAGAGAGAGAGAGAGAGAGAGAGAGAGAGAGAGAGAGACAGAGACAGAGAGAGAGACAGAGAGAATTAAATAATTAAAGAGCACTATAGATAAAAATTAGATTTGCGTCCTTTTAAGTAAAAGCTTTTGATAAAAAATTAATATTCCTCATCTTTTTAAATGGGCGCGATAAAAAAAAAAAAAAACCCGAGAGAATGTTGCAAGCGGAAGAAAACAGGGGAACTCGGTAATAATAAATAAATGACGCGAAGAAAGCGTAAGAGGGATAAATGTGAGAACTTCACGTTCTTTTGATAAATTGCGTAATCCAGAAATGATAAAAGTATGCCACGACATCGGAATCGCCTCCTCGTTCCAAGTCGTAACTTGTGATAAAATATCAAGTATTTCCATGTATCGCCCACGATTCGCATATTTCATTTAGCTGTCGGTTTCGGAACTGTATGCAGAAAAGAGATTACGCAGAAAACAAGCATAAATGATATCTGTCAAATGTCAAAAACATCGAATTTAACTTTTGCCCTTAACGTCATTATCTCATTGTTATCCCGCGATACTACATATGCCGGAGAATGCAGCGACTTAATTATGTAACTTCGGTGATTTCTGTTTAGAAGCGATCGGAAAAGTTGCGCAACGATGCTCTCGATGTCGATAAGAGAGACCGTAAAGTCTATCCTCACGCCTGATCTGGACGCGTCTTAATTAGAGATTCATGCCCGTGAGGTATTAATCAACCGCGAACGACATGCCGAAGAGGCACGAAATAATTAATTATTATTCCAGGAACGAAACGCGCGCTCTCTCTTGTCGCACGCACGCTTCTTTATTCCTTTATCCGTAGGATAAATCAGTCACGGACGGATAATTAGCACGGACAAATATATTAATTACATTGTAATTATATTGTAACATGGCAGGGCGTGTCACGCAAACCGGTTTTGCTCGCACGAACAATTTAAACGCATGAGCGCACATATACACGGTATTTGTTGTAAAATTTTTGAAAAAAGCACAATTTGTTAATGACGCCGTGAATTGCAAAAATGCTCAATTTAACATTGCATAAAAACGCAACGTTGTCAAAATGCGGAGATGAATAGATGAAATTTTGTTGTTGTTGAAAGATTTCGCTGTGTATAGTTCACTGATAAGTCAGTGACGGAAATGTAAAAAACAACAACTGTGCGTTCTATTTCTGTTCTTTTTTACGGTAATAAAGATACGCCAACGAAAATGAAGACGGTGTGACGTGAATAAT